ATAAAAATTGTTATTTAAATTTATTTATGCGCAATTGTGCATTGGTAGTATACTTAGAGGGCAATATTAGAGAATAGAAGACCCATGTCATTTGGTTCAAAAAAAGAAAAATGAGCAATTTTCACGGTATGCCAATATATATATGCACAAGTGAAGATAGAAGACGCAAATGATGGTAATGGAAATAAGTAGATTGGTTTAGGTGTGTTTGTTTTCTATCCTTGAACCTTCATTCTTTTACTTTCTTTGTATTCTTAGAACTCTTGATTATCATAGATTGGGTTGAATATTACTCGACATGGTTTTCGGGCGTGCATCAAGCATTGGTGCTCGAATAAGTTTTTACATTTTTTTCATTAATTTCAATTTACATTTGAAAAAATAACCAAAACAAAAAAGAAAAATTCACCATGCCTTCAACCCTAATGCCCCTCGTTAAAAGAAAGATAAAAAAAAAAAAAAAAATCCATTCAGCTTGACTTGATCTTGTGGTGTACATAGTAGCTAGGATAGCAGGATGAAACTTGTCCCTTTGCTTGAGCACATTTCAGGCTGGCCTGGGACCAGCAAGGCCCCACCCCCACCCAACCCTGTGGTCACCCTCAAGTTTGACAGGAAGGGGAGATGGGGTGCCGGCTACCCCCCCTCCCTCCCTCCCCTCCTCCTCCTCTCTCTCTCTCTCTCTCTCTCTCTCTCTCTCTCTCTCTCTCTCTCACACACACACACACCCACGTATGAAATTATTGACATAACAACAAAATGAACCTCATCATTGGAGGATGGTCTTGTTAGGCATGCCACCTCACGAGGGATTTATTTTTCAGAGTCATGTTATTAGGGAATTTTTGATTAATATTTTAATTTTATCGTTGATAGTATGTTTTTGATCGAATTGAGAAGAAAATTAATCGAGATACACATAAGTTGATCCGAACACTCCTAATTATTGAACCAAAAAGAAAAAATTAAAGGATTAAATAAGTTCTTGTAGTCGATGTTAATCAGAGCATCTCCAACCATAATTCAAATTTGAGTAAAAAATTTAATTTGGTATGAAACACTCCAATGGATAAACTTGAATATCTATTCAAATCTTTTAAAAAATTTCCTTACTATCCCAAAACTCATGTTTTTTTTTTAAATTTTTTCTACCAAAATATTTTATCCTCTCTCATTTTCTTGTCTTTATTCCCTCCTCAATATTAAAATAGAAAAGAAAAGGCTCCCCAATATTAAAAGTTGTTTCTTATAAACTTCACCAATATTAACCAAAAGAAAATTCAAGAATAATAACCTTTTTGACTAGTAGATTCGTGAGCTTTTTACCGTCTAAAACAAAGGAATTTTTAAAATATCTACTCAATACAAACTAACAGTATTTCATGTCTTCACTTTCATCTAAAACAACTTATGTCTAAAGCAAATTCATATGAGAGAGAGATTTTTTGAGAATTAGAGTTTATGAGAGAGAGAAATGATAAAAAGACAGAGTAAAAGTTACCCTTAAAGAATTGAGGCAGGGAGAGGCAGTGTCGTCGGTGGCAATGAGAGTGACTTTGAAAATAAAGGTAAGAGAGACAAGAACTTGTTTCGTTCGATGAGTCTTTTGGGTTTGCATAAGATAAAAAATTATCGTTGAAAATTTGATATAGAATTTGAGCCTCCTTTAGTTTGGGTTTAGAATAAGTTTTGCCTTGATTTGAATTACTTTGAGTCTAAAGTTAGAGAAATTTTTTTGGATCATTTTGATTCAAATTTAAATTTGAGTCTAAATTTGAATCAAGGTTAGAAATGCTATAACATAACTAATTTTTCATCTTTTAAAAATTCTGTCAGTGATAAATTGAACTATTTATTTGAAATTTAAATTAATAAACTTCCAAACCAATGATAAAATAGAAAAAGTTTTTGGAGTGAAGAAAAATAGGAAAATGGTTAGTGTGATGGCATTAAGTTAGTTATTCATAATAAAAAACCATGTCACTGAAAAATGAATTAACCCTAGAAGAATATAATATACAAGATAAATCTATCTAATATTAAAATTAGAAAATTGTATTATCAACTTATATAAACAAAACTTTATCTATTTTATTTTGTTTTTTTTGGTTAAGCACTAGTACTGGGAGGATAACGACGAGTTTCAAACCCATAACCTTAAAGTCCAACAATGGGAGCGGTGGCCACTAAACAAACTGCTAATCCTCATCTACTTTGATTTAATTATACAAAATTTATAAATTCATCTTCAATTTTTTTCCCACTAAAAACTTCATATTTTTTACATGGGCTCAATATCAAATAAGATAACTAACACACTCTTTAATATCACACAACTCTACTACTCTACACTACGTCTCTCTTCTCTCTTCTCTTTTTCTTATTCTCTTTCAGTTTGCTTTAAAAAAAAAAGAAAAAAAGAAATTATTATATAAAATATAGATGTTATAAGCCCAATGCTGGACTTTTGATATTGAAGTTTGTCTTTAGGCAAGAATTATTGCTACTATTTTATATAAGCAATTAAATTCAAATCCTGATACTCACCTGTTAATAATCTCATTAGGTGAATATACCAGCCATATGATTGAGTAGTCAAACATAACAAAAATAAACTAATTTTGGGATCCTAATTTCCGGGTTCATGTACCCTCAACTAATAAGGATTTGACCCGAAATATATTCCTCTAAAATTATCTTATTGCTAGTGGTTAGAGCTTAAAATTTGATTAAAAAATAGAGGGAAAATCCCATTTTGCTCTTTGAAAAATACAAAAATTCTTAATTTGTCATCCAAATGATTAATTTTTCACATTATCCCTTCAAAGAGTTAAAAATATTACCATACTGTTCACTGTCTTATTTTCGTTTGATCGTCTGTCTGTTTTGTGATTCTTGATTGGACCATGTTGTAATATTTTTTATTCTTTAAGAGGACAATATGAAAAAAATTAATCTTTTGGGAAACAAATTGAAAATTTGTATATCTTTCATAAGACAAAATGGGATTTTCCCAAAAATAAATTAAAAAATTGGAAAAAAAATATCTATATAATAAAATAGGAGTGCGTTTGAATTTTATCCTAGTAATATTTTCCCCCTTAAAATCATCATCAATCACTTACCTCACTCATCATCTATTTGTCAGACTCAAATTTCAAACCACATCACTCATTTCTATCACATATTTAATCATTTATATATTTTTTTTCCTAAAAATATTACACCACTCATTTCTATCATATATTTAATTATTTAATATTTAATTAATTTATAATTAATATATTTTAAAAAAATTTAATATAATAGGATCAATTTTTCGGAGGCCGATCACATGAGCTGTCATGTTTAATGACGTTTGATGTATTCTGGGTGTCTTTTAGTCTCATTTTTAATTGAAAAAAAAATAGACGACCCAACTACCTGGAGGCTATTGAAAAAAAACAAAAGCCATGTATGAAAAGATAATAATAAATTTTCAAAGAAATCAAAGCAAAAGGTGCGGAGAGTGACCTAACAAAGTAAGAGGCGCAGTTTGAATTATTGCATTTTGTCTTCCCCACTTTTTTCGGGGTTTTTTGGTCGTTTTTTAGAGAAAATATTTGGTATAATCGTTATATCATGTCAATAATATCACATGATAAATCGTCAATTAATAAGTGAATAAGTTTGTATAATCATCCAACAATGTAATATATTACCGTCTCCATGTAAGAAAGTGGGCTCTATTTTATCTATTTTGTAATTTTTTTATTAAATAATTATATTATATGATATTGTTGATATGATTTAACCGTTAACCCTAATATATTCCTATTGTTGGTGGGTTTTTCAACACCATAATAACTAGGGGTGCAAGTCAAGGAGATTACTCAAATAGTCGAATCTGTGTTTCATGGTTTGAAATATTAGCCGAGTTCAATACGATTCAGTCTTTTGATATCCTGCTATTGTTTGTGTAAATCATAAGTTTTACTTGCTTAGAGGTTAAAGAGGTTTCGATTCACTTGGCCGAATTGTCCAAATCTTTCAATACCATGTATAAATCATATTGTTTGTGTAACCGTTTCATTGTCTTACAATGTGTATTTCGATATCATTTCGCGACACTGTCACACCTTAATTAAGACGTTTTACAAAAAAAAAAAAAAACTGTTTATATATATAAACTACTTGACTTAAGTTTCCGTACTAAAAGACGCTACAACTGACACACGTTACTATCCTCTAACACGATAGTTGGTATTGCAACCTAAAACTATATTGGGTTAAGAAATGAAACTCTCGGCCTTAGGACCGTCCAAACACGAGCATCAATCCGAAAATTTCAATTTGATTATAACTCATACTTAGATTTTTAAATTCGGGTAGTACTTGAATTAAAATCCGGTTGCATATTACTGGTTGAAATTCGGATTGTCAAGTTTAGAACATTAAATCGTTGTGAGGAATAAAGTTGTTGACACTTGATAGCCAAACTAAGTATATTATTTTTGGTATCTTTTAAGCTCACACTGGAATCCATAATGAATATAAATAACTGTCTGCTTTCGTTTGATGAACTTAAAAAATTCTTGGCTTCCACGCGTATTTGATTTTGTTTTACACAGAGAGAGAGAGAGAGAGAGAGAGAGAAAATGCTATCATCTATCTCATCGTAGTCCTATCATTTCGAATTCATTTCAAAGTCATGTCATTTTATTTCGGGTTTATGTTATGTCATTTATTTTTATTTTATTGTGTTGTGTGAAAAATTATCACCCTAATTTCTAGATTTCCTTCTTTGCTAAAATTTTCATGTCATGCCCATATGAAGATCTAGAGTTCCAACTTCTGTTACTTGCATAATTGCATTGTGGAAGAAATAGATTTTCAATAGAGTAATTCCAGATACATGCAATCACACCCTAATCACAAATATTCGTTAAATTTGGGAGACACCAGGAAAAATAAAACTCAGGATATCCGAGTTTACGATTTACCTTAAAATGACCCCTATATCACTGGCCTACCCCGTGTGGGTTAATTTGCATACTATTTTGGAGTGTGGCAACAAAATATATTGAACACAACCCACACTGCTCAATTGTGGGTGAATTAAAGCAAGTAGATGGGTAAGCTGCTGCTATGGTGTTTTCAGGTCCTCCACCACCCTCTGGATGAGATTCCAATGATTGAGCCACCTTTTCGAGGGCCCCAAATGGTGGGAGTTTCAGAAACTGCAGTGCATCAGAATTAGGCTTATCAACTGTCTCGGAAATTAGAAAGGTGTAAGCCTGCTGTAATTTACCTTTTGAGGATGCCAATGGCATCATCTATTAATCATCTCTAAGAGAACAAAATGTTTAAATACTTTGTCCACTTGCTTGTAAAAGCTAGAAGTACATAGTTCTGAACTTGAAAGAAGTGTGGGCAAAATAATTCCATCAACAACCTCAAAGTTACTTTAATCATCTAAACAAAGTATGAGTAAAGTACATTGGGTAACAGAAATCTTTGAAAAAACTACCATATACCATGATTTTTGATTTTAGATCCCACATCTCTATTATTTTTTCTCAACTTTTCATAATGATAGATTGAAAATAGTTTGTCCTCCATTAATTTAAGTGAAATTCATCGTTTAAAAGCGAGTTTCCCATCAATACACAATGAATGATTTATCATTGGTAAAAGAGAGACAGTGAATTAAAGAAAATATAACTCCATCATTACGAGACATTGATCTTCATAATACAGCTTGATCAGTGATCCACTAAACAATCAATGCTCAACATCAAAGTTCATTTTTTCAATTACAGTAATAATCTTAGAGTAGTCATTTATTTGGCTTTTAAAGTCCAAAAAGAACTTATTTCTTTACATCAGGATGTATAGAATTTCTTTTTCCCTCTCTTTTTGTGGCATTGTTTTTAACCTTGGGCATTGACATCAGCATTATGTCAATGATGATTGCCGACACAAGAGCACAAACAATACCAGCAGTACAATAAATTTTGCTTAATGTAATCTAATCATGTGAATAATGGTTTTATTTAGATTTTTTTAGTGGTTGTATGATCACATCACAAGCAACTTCAATCTTATTCAAAAAAAAAAAAAAAAACTTTGCCAGAACACTGAACAGTAACAGTGGGATCTTTCTGAATACCAATCTCTATCTCTCCCCTCAGATAACTCTCTCTCTCTCTCTCTCTCTCTAGACACCCACATTACAAAATTACGGTTTCCATGAATTGCTGCACTAAGCAGAACCTTTCAAGGAAGCTCAAAACAACCAAAAATCTCTTGACTGCAACACAGTTGAATCTGTTTGCCAATTCCAAGACCCTACCAGAACTGTTCAGAGCCATCAACACATATTCAAACCAAAATAACACAACTTTTTTCCATAGTTTTTTCTCTATGATTCTATACAAAAAGGGGAAAAAAAGAGGAGAAAAGGGTGAGAAGTTCAATACTCAGTTTTGGAATCCTCAGGTATAATCTTCGAAAATGAACATAACCCTATTGAACATAATCTATTCTAAAAATTTAAGTTTTTAGAGTAAATAGTGTTCAACGGATATTTCTGTCGATAACTCACAACTAAACTCGCCGATCGGTGTAGTGCGTGTAATGGTGCCCGTCATTAAACTTCACTTAGTGTCTCAGAAATGCTCTCTAAATGAGGCCTCCATACACCGGCACGGCCCCTCCTCCGATCCCTCTGAGTTGATAGCTTCTCCGATAATATCTCAGTCAAATACCGATCAGAAATGAGAAAGTTTGTAACAGAAACATTGTTGTTCACACCTCTTTCATTCTCTCTCTTCTTCTTCCTCGTGGATGATTTTGAGCGAGTCTTTTCTGAAGGCACAGGCATAAGAAAGTAAATTTTCCCACGTTGAAGTTCTGCATCAGGAGGAACTATGACAATTTTCGGGCAAATCCCTTCTTCTGATGACGTTGAAGGCTTCTTTAATATATGTTTTGGATATGCCTTCATGATCTCTGATGCTTTTATAGACCCACTTATCTCTTGAACATGGCCATTGGAGTGTACTATCCGGATTACATCTAGTGCTCCGCATGGAAGAATGCAAGATATGCAGCATCTGAGGGTGTTCTTCATGGCTCTGGCCTTCTCTCTTTCTCTCTCAAAATTTCTCCACTGGAGAAAGAAGAAGAGACGAGAGGAAGAGAGAGAGAGGAGTGGGGGATAAAATATAAGAGGGGAAAGATAAAGAGAAAGAGAACCCACTTTTCTTTTGTTTATTTGTGTGTGTGGGTGGGTGAGAGAGAGAGAGAAGGGAGGGAGGGAGTGGGTATCAATCACTCATAAGGGTTTGTAGCAATTTATATGTTTATTAGATGCTTTTGGTCCTTCCCTTTTTTTTTTTTCTGCTTTTGAGTGGGGAATTTTCTCACTTGCTTAGGATGAAATCTATGGCGTGAATAATTGCAACTTATTTTGTACTTGGCCTTTTGGATACATCATTCAGGGTCCTCCCTAACCCCCACCCCTCAATAATTTGGGTTCGGTGTGAAAGGCTGGAGGCATATGGTGACACATGTTAGCCCATGATTGGAAATGCCAAGTGGTATGTGAGTGAGGCAAGTGTTAGTACCATAATAAGACACTTGTTGTAGATGAATTGGCATGACAAGAGTAGGTAAGGAGATGGTAGTGAAGGACTGTAATTAACAAAAGAAGTGCGACATTTTTCAATAGATCATCTTCCGGTAATTTATATAGGGCCCACTAATTATAGTTAAATTCCTCAATTCTTGATGCGTGATTTATTTTTGAGTAAAATTGTGAGATAAAATTATATGAAAAGGATTTGAATCCGAGCATAAAAAGGAAAGATGGATAGGTATCCCTCTTACTTGGGGGGGGGGGGGGGGGAGCGGGGC